AGTCATTCTTCATGCAAGGTACTGTCTCAGACCTTTGCTAAACTGTCTAAATTCTGATGCAGTATTGATTTCTCCCTCTATGAGCTCACACCCATTTCATAAGTTGCAAGAACTCCTTGTCCTAGCAGAATTCCCTCAAAAGTGGGACGCAGGTATGCTGATGATCCTACGATAGTTTGATGGTGATCCTACAATAGTTGCTGATTGTGAATTAGTGCGAAAAAAGCCACTGGAGATGGGAAATTTCATCTTGAATAGAGATACACAATAGGGAAAGATACCTGTGAGGTTAAATGAACAAACAACAAAATAAGCTACCAGAAGCATGTATATTATGATCTTATTTAGTAAAACATACCAAAAACCAAAAGCCCCACTATATTTGTAATTGGAAAGGCGATGTAGTACATATGTATAAATATAATCGTTATTTCTGGGCAGTGGGACATTGATTTTTTTTCCCCAATTTTTTGCAATGAGTATAAATTCATTTTTATAATTTGGAAAAAGCCATTTGGTTAATTACCAATTTTATGACAACTTAATGGAAATTACTATTTGCCTTCAAAATAGGGAAATTTTAGAGTTCCTCCAGAATTTCTTGAGAGAGCTGCTTTTCTGTTTACTAAGCATTTAAAAGACACATTGAGATTTATGAAAAAAGAAGGATAGCACTCATAATGTAAAGACTGTAAAATCATTAAGAATAATGAAAAGATACAACAAGCAGATATACAAAAAGAAAATGAACCATCCAAATGGCCCATCTAGAGGGGTTGTGCTCCTTATTACAGGAAGGTTACAGGAAGAGAGATTACAGGAAGAGAGAAATGACTGCCTGCAGAATGCTGGAGAGCAGCCTCTTGCAAAGCATTCACATCCACGCCTACATAGGCCCTCTGAAACTTCATAAATTTTTAAACAAGGCCATTCATTTATTTTTCTAATAATTAAGATTTCTCTAAAAGAAATAATGCATTTACACAACTATTTTATACATGCATTTTATATAAATATTATATTATATATATTTTATTTTATTGGGGTTTGCAGCCAGTTCCACAGAACTCCCCCTCCCCATGTTGAGACTGATTCAAGACAAGACAATCACAGGGCTGGCAGCTCAAAGAAATGGAATTCCTATTATGGTATAGTATCATTGCCTCTTGTCTGGTTTAGTCACTTATTTCCTTTTATTATAATGCCAAATGTTATTTAGATTTCAGTCATTTAGTAATGCTACACTGAACACATCAGGGCTTCTAAAAAAATTCCATACCTACTGGTCCTTTCATTTTCATAATAACCCCATATCGATATCCCCTTTCTAGCCAAGTTACACCAGTATGCAAAAAGGAATCTGTGTTTTATCAGAGTTTAAAAGATTATGATGCACTGAACAACAGTCTTCAAAATGTTCCTTCATGTTATTAAGAATTAGGAAATCTTGTTAAAATTCTTTCAGCTTTTAAGAAACATAAGCAGCTTTGGGATGTAGTGCCTGACATGAACTTTTAAAGTAATTCCCTTGGAGCAATCATCTGCATTAGCACAGATATTTCCTTCAAGGTAGCATCCAATGCTGCTTTCTAGTATTTGAGCAGTCAATCTAATTGCTTTCTTATGCCAGAGATTGAAAGGAACCAATACTGCAGACTTTGAAGGCTCAGAGAGCCTGACTTGCTCTAGCGGTGAGCGTCTCACTTGCTATCAAGGAAGAGAGCCCTTTCCGATGCAAGTGAAGCTAATGAGCCTGAGTTCTTCAGGGATGTAAAAGCAGAGTTTTCAATTTTCCTCGTCAGGATGGTGAGGGGAGTAGGGAAGGATGCACAAATAAATTTATACTACCTCATAATCATACTTTAATGTTAAATGATAGAGGAAAGGAAAGATGTACTAGTCAGCTCTGTTATCCAGAACTAATAACAGGTTATAACTGAGTTCTGACAGTGTACTTAGAGGTGTGTACGAAGTCCTTCATACAAAGCATATTATTATATATATATATAATATATTAGAGTTCTTATATTATATATCATATATTTTATATATATATAATATATTAGAGTTCTTATATTAATATATTCATTTGGGTTGGTGTTTTGTTTTGATTCTAGCCTAGGATACCTAGAAGAACTGGATTACAGGATATCGATTTCTTTGGTCCCAAAGTCTCTGTCAAATGACAAGTTGCCCTCAACCTATGTTTGGAGAGACATCATATTCCATCTGAATCAACAGCATGATCTGGCGTCTAGCAGGATCTAATGCCACCTTAAACTGCACTCACAGAAGCATTGTGACCTATACTTTTGGGGACCCAGCGAATGGCCCTGATTGCCTGTGTTAAGGGTATGGTGAGAGGATAAAATAAGAAGCAGAGAAAAATTTAGTAATACATGATGAGTGACTGGGAAGTCAGTGTCTCCAGATAGACCAAAAGAGCAACACTCTAAGACAGCCCTATTTATTGGGTATGTACAGTGCTAAGTGGGGCAGGGGAAGAGTCAAAATGGGTGGAAGACGCAGAGGTCTGTGGCTCAGTAGGCAGGTATAATCTTGGGATGACTCATGAGAGTGGAGATGATCTTATGCTAAGGAGGATCTTACCCTGTGGTATTTTTTAAACTTACTGGTCTTAGTTTAGTCTTAGTGGGTGGGAGAGGATGACACACCACTAAAGAGTTATTAGGAAATTTCAGTGATACTGATAATCACAAGTCTCAATTTTATCCCTTAGGGAAGTATACAAAATTAGCCATTGTGAATTCATGGTCCCCAACATATACTGACAAAGATGATGATCCTTCTGCTTTGTATAAACCACAACACATCTAGAGGACTGTGTCCAGTTTATAGATTCATGTTTTTTAGAGGGTAACCAACGAACGAAGGTACAGCCAGAGTGCTGAGATTTTTAGAAACACACTATTGAATAGTGGTGGTAATGGAATTCCCAGAATACCCTGCAAACTAGAATGAAGCCAGGATTTGATGTGTGTAACTTCATACATTTGGAAAGGCATAATGGGAAAGATGAAACAAACCTGAAGCATGGTCTAAGAGGGTGTGAAGCTGCAGCAAGGTAGCTTTGGGACCCAAATCAAGAATGAATTTCTATTAGAACTTCTCATGCACATCCTTGTGAGTTCATGAACTTCCTATCCAAGACAGGTTCTAGCAGAGGTGAGACAGTGCCTGTTGGCTGTGCTGTAGGAACAGCTGCCCATGTTGGAATTTGAATTAAAAGTTCGAGAAGACCCTTCTAAACTCAGCATTTGTAATTCACGGAAACAAAGGCCACTTTTCCAAGCCTTTCCTTCATACAAAGGCTTTTAAACTCAAATTCTTTCACAGAGCATGTTTGAATCATGAGGAATGAAGAGGCATCAGTCCAACTCCAGAATGAAACAGTACAAAATATTTTCATGTGCTACTTTTCAAAGATGCCCAGATATGAATGTTCTAACCACTAAACATAGTTTCAGTGATCTCACTGATGTATCTATTCAGTAAAGTCAGGGAAGCTATAGGTATAAGAATATATGAATTCCCCCTGAACAAATTTATTTTCATTTTTAAAGGGTAAAAAACAGAATAGGCTTAAATGTTTTCTTTTCTCATGCATGCAGCTAACTGAAGAAGGATGCCTGCCAATGCTGCAAAATAACAAATGCCCAAGAACTGCAGTTACTTCCATCAGGAAACATAAATTGCTTCTAGGTGAAGTTAAAATATTTCCAAAAGAGGAAAATATGTTTTTCTCCTTCTGTGTAAGAAAACATATTGTGATTATTGCTAAGCAGGTCAAATTATTGTCTTGAAGTATGCAGAGTTATTTTAATATTAACCTTAGCACAGTATTTTCCCATTTTTCTTTCTAACAAAATATGTTTGTGTTGTGAATCTGTTTTAAAACAACAGAGCAAGTAAAGTACAAGCATCTTTGAAGAGAGCAAAAATAATTTCCCAAGTAAGCAAATAAAACTTTGCACTTCAAATCAGGCCTTGATTCATTAAAAAATCTTAAACTTCTCATGAGAAAAATTAACATTTAAACCACTGCTGCTTGGCCAAGCACTCCACCACACAAGAATATGAAATATCTCCTCTAAAAAAGTACAAAAAGGACAAAACCACAAATGTGGAACTTCAATTAATTTAAAGCCCCAATCAGCAAAGAATAAATCCTTCGCAGATCTAATTACCAGCGCTCTCGGAAGACCCAGGCCGACCAGCCAATCTTCCCCGTGTTTGAACAGCTTGATGAACTAGGGGACTGATGGATATCAAGTCATTTTGTTTAATTTATAAATGGATTTTCCCCTAATACTTAAATTATCATCAGTACAACACAATGAAAATGGGAACATTCTGAATGCAAAGTCTATAAGAGTCCTGGAAGGAATCCCAATGAGGAATGTCACCTCTGTTCATTCCTCTATACAATTGATCTAATTAAATACTGAGGGTGGAAAGGCAGTTTAAAATGTAGCCATTTCTGTTTTCTTTTTAGCCTTAATTTATCTGTTCACATCTTTCAAGTACCTTCTGATGCTTAAGGAAAAAAAAAAAAAAAAGAAACCAAGATTTCTGCAATTCCTGAATACTTTTAATTCTCTGCTAGCTAACAAACTGCTTCTACCACAGACTGCTAAATAATAAATAAATGCATTGCATTTAGTCATAGTAACAATAAAAAGAAGAAAGTATCTTGAATCAGAAGCTATTCCTCTAGTAATCTGAAAGAGGCACTAAAGGAACTAGTACTTTCTATATGTATTGTTTGACTGAAATTAGATCGCTGGATTATACTCATTAAAATGTCTCCTTATTTTCAAATCTCTTCCTTATTTAATTACTGCATGGGACTGAAAGCTGCATGGAATTGTTAAATACCCCTACACCTATTTATAGTCTCTTCACACATGGGTACCTTGAGCACACACATTCGGCAAAGGTCCTCCCCACCAACCCTCAGGTTGGGTTGCAATTCCCACCTGGCTCAGGGGTTTCTGACTGAGAGGAAGAAGATGCTGAGCTGGCTCCATCCTCTGCGGTGCCCTGTGAGAGGAGACCCCGCCCAGGTGGGAGCTTCATGCCCAGCTGCTCTGCCATCTCCACGTGGTCCCCAGGGTGGACATAGTCAAAGACGCTGCTGCCTGTCAGCTCTACCTGGAGAGGAAAGAAAAAGGGTGGGAAAGACAGGTGTCACATGCTTTTCCATGATCAAATTCAGTACCACCGTGATTCAGATTCTGAGGAGAAAAGGAAATACATTCAGGTCTCAGAAACAATCCTGGTTCTGAGTCTTCATCTTCAAATGCTTCAGGATTCTTGAAAGAGAGAGACTTTTTGTTTAAAAAAAACCATATATTTATTTAGCAATTGTTTAGCCTAGTTTTTTCTCTTTATACACTGTTGTTTGCATAAAGCCAAAACATTCTGTGAAATGTGGACGAGTCTGCCTTGCATTCAGCTATTTTATCCACGCATCATCAAATACTTGTATGTTTGGTGTCAACTGGATGATTGACTGAATTCTGCAGTTTTCTTATTGAAAAGTTTGGGCTTTGTATAAAAACAACTATGCTAACAGCCAGAGATAGCAGATGAGTATTTTCCTTAAAATACAGAGATCTTCAAGATGTGTTTTTATACCTATCCTCTTCTATGTAAATTTAAATGTAAGAACTGCTGCTTACAAATATATGCAAAGGCATAATGTTTTCATTAAATATTACTCATTAGCTCTGTAATTGTATGGAGAATTTTCCATGCAAAAAAGGTCAGCTGGGGTCTGAAGCAGCCATTTTTTTTCTGCTGGTATCAGCTTGTTTTGCCTTCAATCTAATAAAATACATGGTACAAATCTCCTTGAGGGCTTTTTAAACAGTGTTTTATTTTGTGTGCTCTGTGAATGAGGAAGATTCTGAATGTAGAGGATGCACATGAGATATCAGAACCAAGGCACTGTCTGTTTCTGGGTTGACAGACTTGACCCCTGTGTTTGGGTCACAAGCCGTGTCAGGGTTAGAAGTTGCTAGCAAGGATGGGCCTTACCTCTATACTCTTCAAATGCTCTTTTATCTCCTTCTAAGAATAGCACTAGTGCTCCTAATGTAATGTACTTAGGTTAAAGGTATTACACCAGGGAGAGGTGTGTTAGAAATCGGACAAGGGAAAGCTTTTCCCTCGGTCACTAATGGGTTTCCTAGTCTTCTGAAGCCTAATGATCTCTAGCCAGCTGGGATGGGCTACAGAAGCTGCCAGAATATCACAGTGTCACAAGTTTCTCCATCACGGTTTACCTACCCCCCTTGCTACTTCCTTCTCCTTTCCTCTACGGTAATCCAGCATCCCTCCAAATTCAGCCTGAGTGCCTGTGTTCTCTTTCTTGCCAAGCAGGAAGTCTGGCTGTGAGCGAGCTGTCACAGACAGGGAAATACTCAGAGCAATTATTCTCCTCAGAACTCCAAGTCCCGGTAAGATGATCACATCTACTCCCAGACACCATCTGATTAAAATCTTAACAGGCTACACATCTTCAACATCTATCAATTAACAGAGGTACAGCCAGAAAAAGAGGAGGCTAAATTCAGTTTGGTTAATAGCTATTTCTGAAAAAAGCTCACATAACTTTTACTGAAAATGAGGCACTTTCTCTTGCTGTTAAATTACATTCTTCTACTGTATTACCCAGCTCCTGACTATATCATTTTACAATACTTATTTCCTTCACTTGATATTGTTACCGAGTACATTGGGATTCACGGTGATCAGTGCCTACCCTCTGGGAGGGGGGGATTACATGGAAATAATCCCTTTAATGTGCGCCTTGCCTCTAAGCACTTCACACAGCAATAAATGGGTAAACTGACTTTGAGCAATTAAGAAATTAAATGAAACTAGTAAAATGTGTGTTTTAATATTTCTTGATGGTTATTTTGTTTGGGGATTAGTGACTATGAGGAAGTCGCTCTTTTTACATAGAATCCAATTGCAGCACTTTAATAAATATTTTTTGTCACTTTTCTCCAACTCTAATGTTTTTCTTTGATACTTCAATATTCCTTTTGGCACAGATCACAAATGGTGATAAGATGACAACACAAGTGGGAGATAAAATAGACTTTTTAAAAGGTATTGGTTATTGAACATTCATGTAAGCAAGTTTTGCTGTGAAGAGGAATAAGCCACTATGTCTCCTGATGAGTTTGGAGGTAAGGCATTTTCCTTCCTGGAAACAATGTCCTGGGAGTGACACAAGCAGACCAAGATGAAGTGACAAAGTGCCATATTGTGTTGTGGCACAGTGAGGACTTTCTCTTGTAGCATGCTCCTGGCCACCTCAAAGCCACCTCAAAGCCAAATACTGATGGCAAGGTTGGCACTGAGAATGCAACACTGTCAGTCTTCGTGTTTCTAAGGTGTCTCGGAGGAGTAGAAAGCAGAAGCTACGTGGAGTCATAACCTGTCTTTGATATCAGAATCTTTTCCCTCATCTGTGTGACCTCGGATAACTCATAACCCCGCTGGGCTTCCATTCCCTATTCTGAAACTGGTGGCACTGCTGTTCTTTTTGCTGTCGTTATGATCATAGTCACAGCTGAGATTTATTAAAAGCATATTATTTTTCAGATACTTTTTCCTAAGTGGCATGATATTTACACATATCACTTTTTTCTTTGACTTGTTTATTTATTTTGAAATTGCTGCTCTGTAGGACTTTGGGGCTCCACCTGCCCTGTCTGTATGTGCACAGCATTCCCTGGAGTGCCATTCCTTGGCAGTGTGCAAAGGCATTGGCTCCAAGTGCTGGGACGGAAACAAGACTTGCTTCAGCTGACCTACAGCCTGATTTTGAAAATCCATTGAAACTGTGCAGAGAAAATCACTTTATGAGAAATAAGTGCTCTAAAATGTTTACTCTTATCACTGTTTGTTGGATACCTGTAATTCTGGGTATTTGTCATGACTTTGGGGCATCACCTGGGGGGACAGGGATGATATGTATTTTGGCCCTTAATTATAATAACAATATTAGCAGCTATCTACTGTGGGCAGGTACTTTTTATGTGCTTTGCTTCGATGTATCCTGATAATAATCGTTTGAATTGTTATGTTCATCCTCATTTCAGGGAAGAACTGAAATACCGGAAAAGGTCAGTGGTGGAGGCAGAATCTGATCAAAAGTCTGCTAGCTCATCCTACCTCTCAAATGGAAGCCTTTGCAACTACAGGAGTTCAGGCAGCTCTGAGCCCCTCTACCTTTCAGCCCTACTCTTAACACAGGGGAGAACAGTGACCACTAAAGTTTAGATTGGTTTTATTCAGTTGTGTTTTGTTTGATTTTATTATGTCCAATGGTGTGGGCAACAATTTTGAAGATAACAAGAAGCATTATGATAGTCATTGTTTATTTCCCAGTATCCTATTTTGAAGTCCTATATCACTTTCACTGTTTTGTTTTGATTGACTTTATTCTGTTTTATTTTGTTTGGCTTTATTCCTTTAAAATAAAATTAAAAATAAAAATAAATAAACTCCAAACCAGTGTTAATTTAACTCTAAATCCTCAAACTTTCCCCAAACTTGCTCACTGATTATTTGCCTTGTATGTGAGTGGCCCATAGCAAATGTTTGTTGAATGATAAAGGATGGCATCTAGGCCTGAAAAACATTTGCTTTATCTTTGACATGGATAAGTTTAAGTAGGCTTTTAAATATTATTGATGACATTGTTGTTATACATTTACTTTGTAAAATGAATTACAATATAGCATCATAATACATTAATTTGGAATTGTAAACAAGTCCCTCAGAAATTATTTCTTAGTATCTTTTCAAGACACCAACAGTAGAAATTTAGAGAAATTTCATTTGATATTAACTGTTGGTCTCATGTTTAATCCTTCATTGTAATGCTCCTAAAAGAATAGTACAGCTTTTCCCCTCAATGGCATCTTTTGATTAGTGCAAATCACATTCAAGGCAAATGAGCGAATCTCCTAGTTTCATAGTAAACCCACTCACGGTATATGATAGTTTTTAAAAAATGTTTATTAAAATCAAGACCTAGACCTTTGGGGTGGTTTCCCTAGGACAAAAAGGAGAAAGACACAAAACTATTTCCAGGCTCAACTTTACAACAAATGAGCAACACCAACAGAGAAATGGCTCTCCTGTGATGCTCAGTGTGTTACAGAAGAGGTGAGAATGCATCAGGAAAGTCAGAAAGGCAACCAACAAAAAGCAGTCACATCCAGAAATAGCACTGCATCTAAACCCTTTCTCCTTAGCTTTCCCCATGCAGTGTTACTACAGATTCCTGCAGGACAAACCCCAACTACAAGTGCTGTCTGGTACTTCCTATGGCACAGCTAACCTGCACAGCACTCCTTAAGTGTCATTCACAATCTGTTAGTTTGCCTGTGATTTGTATATGAGGCACAGTTGGTTTGGTAACTCTGAAGTTTCCTAGGAAAAAATGTAAATATATTGTAAGTGGTTTGAGTTGACTTTTCCATGTCAGGTCATTGTACCCTGCTGGTAGATAGGATGGGGAACTAATTTGTCTTTTCATACATCAAGCAAGCATGTCAATAGCCTTTGCTTGGCCCCCTGCAGTGAGCAATACTTGTTAACTACAGCGATGCACTAACAGTGCAACTCATTGAATTCAGTGCCTCCTTGATTGAAAGGGTTTGGTACAAATGAGGAACAAGCAGTGATATTGTAAGTCTCTCCATTTTGGAACCACTCAAGGGGATACTTCTATAGAGAAAGATCATAAACCTACATTAGGGTACTTGTCCCTTTAAAAGTATTTGTTGTAAGAGTCATGTGAAATTGATTTTTATCACCTAAAAAAGCTCAAGGAAAACCTACCACTTAAGATAAAATTCTAAACCTTTTCTTGTAAGACCGCATTTTATTTTTGTTAATTTCTTAAGAGCATCTGGATTGCAGAGAGGATGCAGGTGCTCCTGGTTAAGCTCTTTTTTTGTAGCCGGGCCTATTCCCATGGGGGCATCAGCAGTATTTGAGCTGAAGGTCACTCCTGAAGGACTATGCTGGTGGTAAGTGGCTTGGAACTCTAACTCTCAAGTTGGGCTTTCATGCCTACCAAGAGACTGATGTCCTGGTTAGACAATTCTGACCCCGGATAAGGT